AAGGCTGATTTTACAGTCGGGAATAAATAAAATATAACACATGCTCTCGCAGGCTAAGATGCCCCCTCCCCTCAAAAAATATCAGGGAAAGAGAGGTGACGTCTATCTCCCCGATTTTTTTTTTCTTTTTTTATAGGGGCGATGGGGCGTCTTTACACAGCCTAGACAAAAATTTCTTTGTAAAAAAAGGGCAAATTTACGCAAAACCGGCTCACTACTACCTCGAGAGCAAGGTCGCTTGAGCAGAAACTTTTTTTTACAGCGTTTGGTACAAGAACGCGAATAGCCTAGCTGCGTGGCAGGTGTTTTGGCACACGCGAGACCAGGGAGGAAGGGACCTCTTATCCTTGAAATAGGGCACGACGCTATTCAGTCTCTAGACACCCAGTTACGACCTAGAGTGCGTTCAAATAAAAAAGCTGGATTTAACGGATTTAAAAATCCTTATTTCGGATTTGCAATACTGACAATGACGAAATCCAAACACCTAAAAACGGATTTTAACGCCGAGAAATCCGTCGTTGGATTTCCATTTTTCCCCGTTTTTTCTTCGGGGGAATAGAGGAAAAGGATTTGGAAACTGTTCTCAAGAAAGAACAGCGGTCTGAGTCACCTGCACCTGCAAATCTCTTTTTTTGGGATTTCCCAATAACATGGATAAAAATGAAAAATGAAATGAAAATGAAATTCGTATTTGGATTTCTTGATTGGATTCCACCTTAAGAACGGATTTTTTGGAATTGAAATCCATTTTTGGGTTTCGAGTTTTACTGCAAAATTCCAAAAACGGTATTTCAAAATCTAAATACAGAATTCCCAATCGAACGCACCCCTATGACTGCTGGCAGTGGTACGCAGGTACGAAAGGCGCTAGTGTCAAACCCGGGTAAACAGCCCTCCGTAACAGACCCAGTGGAATCTATATGTTCACTGGGTACTCGGAGAAAATGTCACTGAGTTGGTTTATTTTCCACTGGGTTTTTCTTCTTAGTTGTATCTCCCACAAAAGCGGGAAGGGGTGGCAGGCCTTACATCTGTCTTTACCGGCCTGAAAACTTTGAACACCTTTTAATTGCTGTAGCGAGAAGATCTAAACAATTTACACTTTTTTAATGCGAGTTTGAGTACCTTACCCTCCGTATTTTGTTTCTGTCAATTGTACATTTTACATTACATTTTACACGTTTTACATTTCTGCTTCTTTTAAACAAATATGAACAACGAAATACACCGGTCTTGTAAAGTCATGATAGAAAGTGACAGGGGAAGCAAGAAAATTAGCCGGGTAAAAACAATCTATTCGCTGGGTATCGGGGAGGCTAAATAACCACTGGGTAGACTGAAATAAACCACTGGGTAGGGTTTCACTGCGTCTGTTACAGAGGGTTTGGGTAAGAAACTGTGACAAGGGCGCCACTTTGTAGATCATCAAAAGGATGGTACACTCTCTTTTTGCTATAAGAATATCGAGGCTGAAATTTGCGAAATTCTAAGAATAATTTAAGAATAAACCCGAGGCTGAGAGTTTGAAAAGGGTACGGCTATTGATACCGTACAATTCATGTTTTTAACTTTACCGTAGAAAATAATTCCTTTCACTAAACAGCAGGAACACTGGTAATTGAAACTCCAACACATTCTAAAGCGGAAAAGCCACAAGCTATAATTTATAATCAAGAATAATTCAAGAATATTTTCAGCTTAAAATAGATGGCAAAATAAGAATATTCAGCCTGGGCTGGAAAAACAATATTCAGTATATATAAAAAAGAGTGTACTGGATGAATGTATCTGCTTTATCTGATTTCCTCTAAAAATATTGTACATTGTTTATCAGGTCAAATTTCATTCGATCTGAAACCACGGTATGTACACCCAACAGTGATCAGTCCCTAAAGTATATCAAAACAGTAGCGTTGCTTTCATCGGAGAGACGGCAAATATTTCTTATTGCCCTCGTTACATTTGAAGTCCAAAGAATGAAATGTAATGTCCCGTCGCGAAAGAAAAACAATGCCAAGGGTTAGGTAAAAGTAAGATCATCTTTCTTTGATGAAAGAATTGTAAACATTTGTTGAAAGAAAAGTCAAGGGAAAAAAGCATCCCTAGGGTATAAAACCGAAATTGACAAAAATTTGCCCGTGTACAGACGCCCCGAGCCTGTACCCGAGCCGACGTATTTCCGATCTTCTCTCTTCTCTCCTTACAAAAAAAGGAGAACCGGACCCTAATCAGCAACAGGAAGTGAAATTTTAAACAAAAGAAGCAAGGCTGATTTTACAGTCGGGAATATATAAAATCAGAAACCCATGAGTTTCTGATAAAATATAACACATGCTCTCGCAGGCTAAGACGCCCCCTCCCCTCAAAAAATATCGGGGAAAGAGACGTGACGTCTATCTCCCCGATTTTTTTTTCCTTTTTTTTATGGGGGCGCTGGGGCGTCTGTACACAGCCTAGACTAAAATTTCTTTGTAAAAAAAGGGCAAATTTACGCAAAGCCGGCTCACTACTAGCTCGAGAGCAAGGTCGCTTGGTACAAGAACGCGAATAGCCTAGCTGCGTGGCAGGTGTTTGGGCACACGCGAGACCAGGGAGGAAGGGACCTCTTATCTGGCCTTGAAATAGGGTACGACGCTATCCAGTCTTCAGACACCCAGTTACGACCTAGAGTGCGTTCAAATAAAAAATCTGGATTTAGCGGATTTAAAAATCCTTATTACGGATTTGCAATACTGACAATGACGAAATCCAAACACCTGAAAACGGATTTTAACGCCGAGAAATCCGTCGTTGGATTTCCATTTTTCGCCCGTTTTTTCTTCGAGGAAATAGAGGAAAAGGATTTGAAAACTGTTCTCAAGAAAGAACAGCGGTCTCACCTGCACCTGCAAATCCTTTTTTTTTTCGGATTTCCCAATAACATGGATAAAAATGAAATGGAAATGAAATTCGTATTTGGATTTCTTGATTGGATCACCGTCGGCCACCTTAAGAACGGATTTTTTGGAACTGAAATCCATTTTTTGGTTTCGAGTTATACTGCAAAATTCCAAAAACGGTATTTCAAAATCTAAATACAGAATTCCCAATCGAACGCACCCCTAGGACTGCTGGCAGTGGTCCCGGGTAAACAGCCCTCCGTAACAGACCCAGTGGAATCTATATGTTCACTGGGTGCTCGGAGAAAACGTCACTGAGTTGGTTTATTTTCCACTGGGTTTTTCTTCTTAATTGTATCTCCCACAAAAGCGGGAAGGGGTGGCAGGCCTTACATCTTTACCGGCCTGAAAACTTTGAACACCTTTTAATTGCTGTAGCGAGAAGAACTAAACGATTTACACTTTTTTATGCGAGTTTGAGTACCTTACCCTCCGTATTTTGTTTCTGTCAATTGTAATAACGTTTTACATTTCTGCTTCTTTTAAACAAATATGAACAACGAAATACACTGGTCTTGTAGAAGTCATGATAGAAAGTGACCGGGGAAGCAAAAAAATTAGCCGGGTAAAAACAATCTATTCGCTGGGTACCGGGGAGGCTAAATTACCACTAGGTAGACTGATCATGAAATAAACCACTGGGTAGGGTTTCATCGCGTCTGTTACAGACGGGGTGTGGGTAAGAAACTGTGACAAGGGCGCCACTTTGTAGATCATCAAAAGGATGGTACAATCTTTTTTTGCTATAAGAATGTCGAGGCTGAAATTTGCGAAATTCTAAGAATAATTTAAGAATAAACCCGAGGCTGAGAGTTTGAAAAGGGTACGGCTATTGATACAGTACAATTCATGTTTTTATTTTTACCGTAGAAAATAATTCCTTTCACTAAACAGCAGGAACACTGGTAATTGAAACTCCAACAAAATTCTAAAGCGGAAAAGCCACAAGCTATAATTTATAATCAAGAATAATTCAAGAATATTTTCAGCTTAAAATCGATGGCAAAATAAGAATATTCAGCCTGGGCTGGAAAACAACATTCAGTATATATAAAAAAGAGTGTACTGGATGAATGTATCTGCTTTATCTGATTTCCTCTAAAAATATTGTACATTGTTTATCAGGTCAAATTTCATTCGATCTGAAACCACGGTATGTACACCCAACAGATGCCCTTTCAGCCTCTCTTGATACATACCAATCATAATGTTGGAATATTGACCTTTTAAGGGGTCTTAATAGGATTTACTGAGACGGTGAATCTCTTTCTACTGTAGCAATCCTTTCTCATATGGCATAATCTTCGGTTCCTGGCTTACGGCAGAATTTTACGTAATTGTGAAAACTTGGTATACATGGGAAGGTAAGGGCTAACCCTCTAAGAGAAATGCAACAGGGACCCTCGGACTGAAGAAGGTTGAGAAGCTAACCTTTTATTTCGTTCCAACGAATATAGCTTCCTTAACCACGAAACGAAGTTGCCTTAAGGTTTTAATTGCACAGTAAATAAATCCCCAAGTTACGGATAAATGTCAGGGGGCCATGCATTAATACTTAAAAGAATGGAGGGCTACGGGTATTATTAATGCAAACTGCTAATTAAGAAGGTCTTGTTTGGAAGGATGACCCATAACGTTTTTGGTGATATAACTACAGTGCATTACAGGGCGAAAGGTCGACATCAAACTTTCAAACTTGAAATATTAAGTGATTAGAGTTTGTTTGCTTTCTTTCCTCTCATTTGCTTTTTAACTCCCATCCGTTTCTTTTTTTCGCAAGCCTAAATTATATGAACGAATTCTTTCGAAATGAGCGATGGATAGAATCCACACAAGTAAGAGGCGTTGGTGTCGTTTGCAGTTTATTTAATAAAATCAAGAGTACAAAATGACTACCTCTAATTTACCTAAATTATGACCGTCAAGTCCTCATCTCGGACTGAATGACAAATCCTCTTTTTTATCAGTACTTTGGATTTAACAAGTAACATTGTAAAAAAACATTCATCTCATAATGAAAGTGGAATCAGATTTATCCAGTCATGTTATTTTCCGGTCAAATCGTGGTGGCAATGCTGAGTTTGACTTACAAAAATACATGCATGGTCGTGTCTCGATCTAAAACAGCACTTGATTTCTGCCAAGACGTGGTGGGCGTGGTCCTATCATGATTTCTGGCTTGGTCACTTGGCAATCAGCAACAGGATCTTGAGGGATAATAGTCTTCACGTAGGTACTGAATTCAGCAAGAGAGCATGGCGAGGCACTGCAGTAAGGGATACGTCGTTCCTGACCATGATACAGCAGTCTTACGGCATAGTCTACGTTCGTAGCATTAGTCACCTGTAGTAGCTCCAGCTGCACCATGGAGGCATATGGGCTCCATTTATAATCGCTTGCATTGAAGGCGTGTAGGAATGGCATAACTATATAAAGAAAACAAACTATATCTCAGTTTCTCGGAGTGAGCAGTATTAAGCAGTAGAATGCGGCCACGTAGACTTAAGAAAGTGCTTAAAACCTTGCGAGATAATACTTTCCTACAGAGATAATTTAATGTCGCCTCTTAAACCATCAAAGATTCCCACTGATTCCAAACCAAAATAACGAAATTGATTTTCTTAGTTTCCTTCTTCCACAAAGGCTCTCTTCAATAAGACTTTGGTGAGACTTTGTTGAGAGGCAGGGGGGGGGGGGTTGGTTTTGGAACTCTGCAACTTCGTCATTTCATTCTACCCCTGATTCAAACTAACACCTCTAAGTAACTCAACGTACCCGTATAGTCATGTCCGGAATACAGATAAAACTTTTCAAATCTCTCTCCGGCGATCACATCTTGCATCGCCTATGAACAAACAGTCAGAGATAAAATAAGGCGTTTTTCATCTTTTCTTTCCTCTAATCAACATAACGGTTTGAAGACAAACTAATAATAATGGTTTTATTATTATCCTCAAGTGGGGACCAACTCATTGTCTTTCTCTCTAAAAAATATCCTGATTCATACGTATAATTAATAATAATAATAATAATAATAATAAGTGCACTTCAACTAAAAGGTCTAATCACTGATCGTGTTTAAATAAAGGATCTATTATTATTTACAAAGCATAACATTATAATGTGAAAGAAGGACGTTTCCTTCGTCTGCTTTTTCTATATTAACATTTTTACTTCTAGTATCCACTAGGTTAAAGATTTTTTTTCTAATTATTAGGGCAAGACCAGGTTAGTTCAACTATCATTTGCCTTCAGCCCCGCCCTCTTTATTTTTTCTCCTAACTGTTATTGTTTGTAATTTTGTTATAATTATGGAGAAACAACCAGCAAGTTACAGTTTTTAACACGTTGTACCTGCCACATCTCAGCAATCAGAAAGCCGATGCCAACTCTGGAGTAATCTTGAATGGAAGGGTAGCTGAATGTTGAGTAGGACGTGTATGCTAACTCGGTAGCAATACGATCCAGCAAGTCTTGTGTCACAGCGGATGGGATGGCAAAACCATGGCAAAGGTGGGTCATCAAGCAATCATTGACATGAAACAAGCCGTCGATTGCTGAGGGTACATGTGACAATTTGTATAAGTAGATAAAATTACTAATTTCATGAACAAGGACCCAGAGGCGGCGTTATTCTTATGAAGTAAATCTTTTTTAAAGCTGCCATTACAGTGAAATCATGATAAAACAACATACAAGGGCCATAAAACAACTTTAATTTTGCGTTGGTCATTAATACCAAACCAAAATGAGTTGTTCCCTTAATCTACGCTCCGTTCACAGATCACGCCTTACCAGAAGAGAAAGAAACCCACCCTTGCAGTCTAATTTTAGTTACAAACCGGTCCACAGAAGAGATATATATATATAATGTACATTCATGTGTATTCACAAAAATACCAGCAACATGAAATGACAATATATTGAATTTTTGAAAAGAGTAATTACACGGCTATCCTTTTTACAATGCAGAATGGAGACCTGTTGTTTCCGGTTAGAAATTTGTCCCATTGGTGACAAGTGGACTTTAACTTTAAGCACCACAAGTCATTAGCTGTTGTCATTACAGACTTAAATTGAATAAAACTTCAAAGAACCAGCAAAATATCGCAGGAAGTTCACTTACTCAAAGTGTATTTCAGACCAAGTGCCTTCTGGACCTCAGTTAACAGGGGTGCAGTTGTTTCGGCATAATGCTTTTTCCACATATCACTCGCAAAAAATTCCTTTTCATATTGTTCCAACTTGGGGCAAAGACTGAAAGTAAGGCATTGAAAAAGTCAGCTCTATATTAGAAATTTTAACAATATTTATATAACAACTGACAAATCTAGAGTATTCTTTTTTATTAAATGAAGTTTTTGTAAACTAGAATCTAAACTAAAGCCCTACAAGTTTCGGGTACAGGTCACATTCCACCGGTCACTTGAAATAAAACCTTCAAACAAAACTATGTTTTATCGTTTATAAAACTAGACTCGTCTTAATCTCTTCTCAAAAAAATATTGGAGTATCTACCATGAATCTTTGACCCGCAAATTAAATACTTGCCAAATAATTTGTTTCACTTCTTAAAAATGTCAGAAAAAGACCCTATTAGCCTGCGAGCGGGATTTACCGCGGGTGACTGGTTCATTGCACGGGCACTTTTGTTGTTCTTATTTAGGCTGTAAAGCCGTGAAATGAATCGGGATAAATCAACATCCCTCACAGTTGCAAAAATCCCTCGCTAAGCAGAGCAGCTCATCCGCAAAAAGCACTATGCAATCTCATCTAGCCAGCTGGTTCACTACCTACAAGCTGACATAGCATAATTTTATAACAAATAATAATTCTCAAGTATTTTCCAGCAAAGACAAAATAAGTCTAGGCCATATGGTTCAGACATATCAGCTAAGTTTACAGAAAGCGAAGCTCTTCTTAGAATTCTAAGACCACAGGATTTACTAGATTTTCAGAAATTTGTCCACCATATATTTGACCATGCATACAATCGGCTTAATCCTCAGCTTGGCAAACAACTTTGTTCAGAAAGAGAAGCTAGTTCTTTTTTGGCTGACAAATAAAGTGACTGATGCCTGATAGGCCATTTTTCAGTTGTGGGCTTAGTTTCCTTTGAGTGAACGTGAGGCTGAGGTTGAGCTTGTTTTGATACAAACCTCCTCCTAGTTAACATAAGACCATGATTTGCATAATAAAGCAGGAAGGGTTGTATCAAAACAAAAAGGTCAACTCCAGCCTCGTTTCAACCTGTAAGTGTATGGGTTATTAACAAAACTTACTTTGCATTTGGCTCCATATCATCATATAATTTATCCATGACATGAATATCAACAACTTGTGCTTTTCTGAATGTATCTGCTTTATCTGATTTCCTCTAAAAATATTGTACATTGTTTATCAGGTCAAATTTCATTCGATCTGAAACCACGGTATGTACACCCAACAGATGCCCTTTCAGCCTCTCTTGATACATACCAATCATAATGTTGGAATATTGACCTTTTAAGGGGTCTTAATAGGATTTACTGAGACGGTGAATCTCTTTCTACTGTAGCAATCCTTTCTCATATGGCATAATCTTCGGTTCCTGGCTTACGGCAGAATTTTACGTAATTGTGAAAACTTGGTATACATGGGAAGGTAAGGGCTAACCCTCTAAGAGAAATGCAACAGGGACCCTCGGACTGAAGAAGGTTGAGAAGCTAACCTTTTATTTCGTTCCAACGAATATAGCTTCCTTAACCACGAAACGAAGTTGCCTTAAGGTTTTAATTGCACAGTAAATAAATCCCCAAGTTACGGATAAATGTCAGGGGGCCATGCATTAATACTTAAAAGAATGGAGGGCTACGGGTATTATTAATGCAAACTGCTAATTAAGAAGGTCTTGTTTGGAAGGATGACCCATAACGTTTTTGGTGATATAACTACAGTGCATTACAGGGCGAAAGGTCGACATCAAACTTTCAAACTTGAAATATTAAGTGATTAGAGTTTGTTTGCTTTCTTTCCTCTCATTTGCTTTTTAACTCCCATCCGTTTCTTTTTTTCGCAAGCCTAAATTATATGAACGAATTCTTTCGAAATGAGCGATGGATAGAATCCACACAAGTAAGAGGCGTTGGTGTCGTTTGCAGTTTATTTAATAAAATCAAGAGTACAAAATGACTACCTCTAATTTACCTAAATTATGACCGTCAAGTCCTCATCTCGGACTGAATGACAAATCCTCTTTTTTATCAGTACTTTGGATTTAACAAGTAACATTGTAAAAAAACATTCATCTCATAATGAAAGTGGAATCAGATTTATCCAGTCATGTTATTTTCCGGTCAAATCGTGGTGGCAATGCTGAGTTTGACTTACAAAAATACATGCATGGTCGTGTCTCGATCTAAAACAGCACTTGATTTCTGCCAAGACGTGGTGGGCGTGGTCCTATCATGATTTCTGGCTTGGTCACTTGGCAATCAGCAACAGGATCTTGAGGGATAATAGTCTTCACGTAGGTACTGAATTCAGCAAGAGAGCATGGCGAGGCACTGCAGTAAGGGATACGTCGTTCCTGACCATGATACAGCAGTCTTACGGCATAGTCTACGTTCGTAGCATTAGTCACCTGTAGTAGCTCCAGCTGCACCATGGAGGCATATGGGCTCCATTTATAATCGCTTGCATTGAAGGCGTGTAGGAATGGCATAACTATATAAAGAAAACAAACTATATCTCAGTTTCTCGGAGTGAGCAGTATTAAGCAGTAGAATGCGGCCACGTAGACTTAAGAAAGTGCTTAAAACCTTGCGAGATAATACTTTCCTACAGAGATAATTTAATGTCGCCTCTTAAACCATCAAAGATTCCCACTGATTCCAAACCAAAATAACGAAATTGATTTTCTTAGTTTCCTTCTTCCACAAAGGCTCTCTTCAATAAGACTTTGGTGAGACTTTGTTGAGAGGCAAAGGGGGGGGGGGGAGAGGGGGGAGGGGGGAGTGGTTTTGGAACTCTGCAACTTCGTCATTTCATTCTACCCCTGATTCAAACTAACACCTCTAAGTAACTCAACGTACCCGTATAGTCATGTCCGGAATACAGATAAAACTTTTCAAATCTCTCTCCGGCGATCACATCTTGCATCGCCTATGAACAAACAGTCAGAGATAAAATAAGGCGTTTTTCATCTTTTCTTTCCTCTAATCAACATAACGGTTTGAAGACAAACTAATAATAATGGTTTTATTATTATCCTCAAGTGGGGACCAACTCATTGTCTTTCTCTCTAAAAAATATCCTGACTCATACGTATAATTAATAATAATAATAATAATCATAATCATAATCATAATCATAATCATAATCATAATCATAATAATAATAAGTGCACTTCAACTAAAAGGTCTAATCACTGATCGTGTTTAAATAAAGGATCTATTATTATTTACAAAGCATAACATTATAATGTGAAAGGAGGACGTTTCCTTCGTCTGCTTTTTCTATATTAACATTTTTACTTCTAGTATCCACCAGGTTAAAGATTTTTTTTCTAATTATTAGGGCAAGACCAGGTTAGTTCAACTATCATTTGCCTTCAGCCCCGCCCTCTTTATTTTTTCTCCTAACTGTTATTGTATGTAATTTTGTTATAATTATGGAGAAACAACCAGCAAGTTACAGTTTTTAACACGTTGTACCTGCCACATCTCAGCAATCAGAAAGCCGATGCCAACTCTGGAGTAATCTTGAATGGAAGGGTAGCTGAATGTTGAGTAGGACGTGTATGCTAACTCGGTAGCAATACGATCCAGCAAGTCTTGTGTCACAGCGGATGGGATGGCAAAACCATGGCAAAGGTGGGTCATCAAGCAATCATTGACATGAAACAAGCCGTCGATTGCTGAGGGTACATGTGACAATTTGTATAAGTAGATAAAATTACTAATTTCATGAACAAGGACCCAGAGGCGGCGTTATTCTTATGAGGTAAATCTTTTTTAAAGCTGCCATTACAGTGAAATCATGATAAAACAACATACAAGAGCCATAAAACGACTTTAATTTTGCGTTGGTCATTAATACCAAACCAAAATTAGTTGTTCCATTAATCTACGCTCCCTTCACAGATCACGCCTTACCAGCAGAGAAAGAAACCCACCCTTGCAGTCTAATTTTAGTTACAAACCGGTCCACAGAAGAGATATATATATAATGTACATTCATGTGTATTCACAAAAATACCAGCAACATGAAATGACAATATATTGAATTTTTGAAAAGAGTAATTACACGGCTTCCTTTATACAATGCAGAATGGAGACCTGTTGTTTCCGGTTAGAAATTTGTCCCATTGGTGACAAGTGGACTTTAACTTTAAGCACCACAAGTCATTAGCTGTTGTCATTACAGACTTAAATTGAATAAAACTTCAAAGAACCAGCAAAATATCGCAGGAAGTTCACTTACTCAAAGTGTATTTCAGACCAAGTGCCTTCTGGACCTCAGTTAACAGGGGTGCAGTTGTTTCGGCATAATGCTTTTTCCACATATCACTCGCAAAAAATTCCTTTTCATATTGTTCCAACTTGGGGCAAAGACTGAAAGTAAGGCATTGAAAAAGTCAGCTCTATATTAGAAATTTTAACAATATTTATATAACAACTGACAAATCTAGAGTATTCTTTTTTATTAAATGAAGTTTTTGTAAACTAGAATCTAAACTAAAGCCCTACAAGTTTCGGGTACAGGTCACATTCCACCGGTCACTTGAAATAAAACCTCAAACAAAACTATGTTTTATCGTTTATAAAACTAGACTCGTCTTAATCTCTTCTCAAAAAAATATTGGAGTATCTACCATGAATCTTTGACCCGCAAATTAAATACTTGCCGAATAATTTGTTTCACTTCTTAAAAATGTCAGAAAAAGACCCTATTAGCCTGCGAGCGGGATTTACCGCGGGTGACTGGTTCATTGCACGGGCACTTTTGTTGTTCTTATTTAGGCTGTAAAGCCGTGAAATGAATCGGGATAAATCAACATCCCTCACAGTTGCGAAAATCCCTCGCTAAGCAGAGCAGCTCATCCGCAAAAAGCACTTAATGCAATCTCATCTAGCCAGCTGGTTCACTACCTACAAGCTGACATAGCATAATTTTATAACAAATAATAATTCTCAAGTATTTTCCAGCAAAGACAAAATAAGTCTAGGCCATATGGTTCAGACATATCAGCTAAGTTTACAGAAAGCGAAGCTCTTCTTAGAATTCTAAGACCACAGGATTTACTAGATTTTCAGAAATTTGTCCACCATATATTTGACCATGCATACAATCGGCTTAATCCTCAGCTTGGCAAACAACTTTGTTCAGAAAGAGAAGCTAGTTCTTTTTTGGCTGACAAATAAAGTGACTGATGCCTGATAGGCCATTTTTCAGTTGTGGGCTTAGTTTCCTTTGAGTGAACGTGAGGCTGAGGTTGAGCTTGTTTTGATACAAACCTCCTCCTAGTTAACATAAGACCATGATTTGCATAATAAAGCAGGAAGGGTTGTATCAAAACAAAAAGGTCAACTCCAGCCTCGTTTCAACCTGTAAGTGTATGGGTTATTAACAAAACTTACTTTGCATTTGGCTCCATATCATCATATAATTTATCCATGACATGAATATCAACAACTTGTGCTTTTCCTGATGATGGTGTTGGTGGTGGGAATAATCCTATTCCAAGAGCCTGAGCTGACTGTGTAAACCAAACACACAACCTTTCAGTTCAAGATGGGCAAAAACAAAATCTCAAGGGGAATTTATGATTGAGTACAGTTGGACCTCTCCTCAACAGTCACTCTGGGGACAGAAAAAAGTAGTCGTTACAGAGAGGTGGATGTTGTACAGAGAGAGAGAGAGGGGGGGGTCTAAACAAGAGTCAATGTATGGACTGTCTGCCAAAAAAAGTGGCTGTTTGCAGAGAGGTGACTGTTGTGGAGGGGTGGTCATTAGTGGAGGTTGGACGGTACACTGCTGAAGATCTTCTAATTTGAATGGTTTACACCTGATAGGATTTTCTTAACAGCACAGCAATACTCATAGTGATGACACCTATTTATCTTAATGTGCCAACCAGGAGAGAAACAAAAGATTCTCTCATTTTTTGGTCATCAAGCGAAAATTATGTGCAAGAGATGAAAATAGCCACTTCTCAAACCTTGCAGCATCTCTGCTCATGCCTCTCAACTAACCTTAAGGACAAATTACTGTCTTATAACAGTATCAAACACAGACTGGAAACAAACAAGCACCTTGCAATCATATTTATCTTCAGAATATAATGGCCATCAATTAAAATTTAAATAAGTACAGTCGAACCTCCTGTAAGCAATCACCAATAATGCAAAGATTTAGTGGTCACTTAATTGAATCAAACCACATGGGGTCTCTTCCAAGAAGAGGTCCCCACATGTCTACTCTTTGGAAAAGAATTCATTGCATGCAATTTATTTCTGTGTTACCTAGGCGTAGTTCCATGTTGTCACTAAAAGATCAGATCATCTGTAAAGCAGTACTCGCTCACAAGAGATTAACAATAATTGGAAATTATAAAACACAGGTACCCCAAAAAGTCAGGTTGCGGTCGCTTACAAGAGGTTCAAACTTCACGGCTTTGAATGAGAAGATTTTGCTGTTTTGGGCCTGTGACGCTTATTGGAGGCAGTCACCTAGGGGGGTGGTCGTACACGGAGGTTCAATTGTTATCAAATAATTTTATTAATCACGTAACTGGAAGTCATTAGTTTAACCTTACCTGTCTTGTTCTTGACATATCTGCAAGTTGCAAACAAGAAAGTAGTTAAAAGCTAGTTATATTCATCATGTAGTCATTATATATTGCCGCAGACAGTCGGGAAATATCACAGGGTTTGTACTCTTTTGAGTTCTTCAAATAACATGACTTTTGCCATGACTTTTTCCATGACCTTTTCTAGTTTTCCATGACCTTAGGTTTACCTGTCACTTCCGAAAATTTTCAAAACTTTACTTGTTTTAGTATATTTTTTGACCTTTTAAGGTTTAAAAACAGTTAAACAGAAACACTCTGGTATCCACCAAACTGCATGTCATTCACGCTGTTTAATTTATTACGCCTCTTTGTCTTACATTATCCTTGCATTATGCGTCTGTAGCAACTAATCTACCAAACAAAACTTCAATTTTCCATGGCCTTCAAGGACAGAAAATTAAATTTCATGACTTTCCAGGCCTTGAAAATGAAATTCTTAAATTCCATGACTTTCCATGTTTTCGATGACCTGTATCAACATTGTAACATCTTAACAGAGCACTTGTAAAACAGGGTGGCAAAGGGGTTTCGTCATGTATAATGTGTCCTATAAATTACGAGCATGATGTGTGAACCGGCCAAACTTAGTCCCTTGAGGTGTAATTGGGCACAGAACAGGGTGGTGCATGATTTACTGTTTCCATAACACACGATGCGTGATTTTCTTTTTGGATTCCGTGATTGGTGAATATCATTTGAAACTAGAAGCACAGACATCAAAAACAGATAGTCATGACATTTTCTGGTCCTTCTTCTTCTTTGTACCATTATGCTCATTCAATTAACTGTTAACGTGCAATCCTACCCAAAAAGGACGCTGATTANCATGACTTTTGCCATGACTTTTTCCATGACCTTTTCTAGTTTTCCATGACCTTAGGTTTACCTGTCACTTCCGAAAATTTTCAAAACTTTACTTGTTTTAGTATATTTTTTGACCTTTTAAGGTTTAAAAACAGTTAAACAGAAACACTCTGGTATCCACCAAACTGCATGTCATTCACGCTGTTTAATTTATTACGCCTCTTTGTCTTACATTATCCTTGCATTATGCGTCTGTAGCAACTAATCTACCAAACAAAACTTCAATTTTCCATGGCCTTCAAGGACAGAAAATTAAATTTCATGACTTTCCAGGCCTTGAAAATGAAATTCTTAAATTCCATGACTTTCCATGTTTTCGATGACCTGTATCAACATTGTAACATCTTAACAGAGCACTTGTAAAACAGGGTGGCAAAGGGGTTTCGTCATGTATAATGTGTCCTATAAATTACGAGCATGATGTGTGAACCGGCCAAACTTAGTCCCTTGAGGTGTAATTGGGCACAGAACAGGGTGGTGCATGATTTACTGTTTCCATAACACACGATGCGTGATTTTCTTTTTGGATTCCGTGATTGGTGAATATCATTTGAAACTAGAAGCACAGACATCAAAAACAGATAGTCATGACATTTTCTGGTCCTTCTTCTTCTTTGTACCATTATGCTCATTCAATTAACTGTTAACGTGCAATCCTACCCAAAAAGGACGCTGATTAAAATTTGGCTGCATGACCACATTCAATGGGTTAAGACATTGCCGTACGAACTTACTGCAATTGCACCTCATTTGAGTGCTGCGTTATGACTAATTTTTCCCCTTGATGCGTGATGGCCAGAAAAAAAATTCAGTGTGATGACGTGTGATAGGTACATGTAGCCCCTCCCCCCACTTCGCCACCCTGTATTAAGGGCCTCAAGGGAGTGCATAGAACAATAAAATTCCCTGCTGACATTTTGTATTGGCAGCTGTACTGTACTAGGCTCCTCTGAGCTCTGAGGAATAAGGGCTTAAACCTCTTAGCTTAGGCTTAGATCAATAGCTTAGGCTGTGGATCTGATAACAACAATTTGGGATCGCCTTAGAAATTATGTACGACTTGAACCACTTGAGAACTGCACCGGTGATGCCAAACTGTGTACAGAGTCTGTCAATCAGGATCAATGATATCAAATGTGATCAATGGTATCAAATATGGCTGATAGGTCCAAAAGGAGCAAGATGACTTCCTGCCCATTGTCAATGGGGCGCAGAATGTCATTGTGAGCCCTTAACAGGGTGGTCTCTGTGCTGTGAAATGGTTGGTATGCAGCTTGTAGTCTTGAAAGAAGCCAGTTCTCTATGACTTTATAGTGCTTAGTTTGGGAAGTAGCGACTCATTAGAGGAGTTAAGACACAAATGCATGCAAGATTGGTTATTGGTCTAAAATTTGCAAGGTCCTGACTTTATTGAGTGAACCATTCTTGAAATTGGGTGGAGGAGGCCCTTTTTGAGAGAGTTAGGGAAAACACCCTCTCACAATAATGTATTTATTATGGTAGTTTAATATGACTGGTAGAAGCTACCATCAGTATTTCTTATCAACTCACTTTACAGTGTATTACACCAAAACACTAACTCACCATCAGTCCTAAAGAAGTCTTCATGTACGCTATAGTTTGAAGAAAGGAATCCAGTGTCAACATATGCTTTACGCAAATTCTCTCCATTCATTTCCTCCTGCTTATAGCCCTTGAATGTAAGATGACCTAAGCCACAATCCCCACGTATGATATTACGACCTGCCATGTAAGCTGCAATTTGCATAAGAGAAACGTATTGTTAAAAACCACCCAAATTCGATCCAGGGGTGAATCGTTGACTCCTCTGATAAAAATGGAAGCAGTGCTTGTCAAGTGACTGGGCCTTGGTGTGGCATATGTTTCATAATACTAGTCTTGTATAAAAAAGTCTCCATCTTGATACTTGTAACTTTGATCTTTAAAATATTAGTTTACCCACTCCCCTCCTCAGCCTATTATTATCACCCACAAATCCACTTCACCCCCGGCCCTCCCCAGGGGTGGGGGGATGGTACTCCCTATAATGGCTTACACATTACACAGGGAGGGTCCACCTAAAAGGGGGTTAACCTTTTTCAGGCTTAAGCTGGTATATGAAAGGGATAGGATACTTCACTAGTCAAAGTATATGAAAGGGTTCGAGAAATCTGTCATTTCGGTATGCAAAAAGACAAACAGATGCATTTTATGGGCGTGAAAAAGTCAAAAAAATGTCCTGGTTTTGTGATTTAATTCCTGTTTAAAAGACAGTGCATTTTCCTCAGTTAAAACGGATACAAAGTTCTAAACTAACTTAAAGCTCCTTTATCTGATATTAACCCCCCAAAAACCAATCAATATTTTGAAAATGACCCACCAGCAAAATAGCCGGCCCCCCTTCACCATAGTAACATTAAAGAACCAGTCTATAACTACATGTATGTACTACTTTACCATCTCTATAAACACGTAGAACTTCTATATCATGAGTGTCATGTTTGATAGTAGGAATGGAAGCTGAAGATAGTAGACAATCCCATTCAGCAGTGTCATTATCCCAACAAGGACTGGCTGAAGCTCTTGTCCTGTCACCATGTCTATGGGTGAAAATATACTGATTAATTATAAACAACAACAACATTACTTTATTACTTATATTGTCAGCAATTAAAAAATTGCAAAAATTGTTGACTAACCTTTAATTAGTATAAAAATGTATCTACATTTACATATTACATACGCTGTAAAACGTAAAAAAAATAGTTGTAATTTTTTTTAAAAATGTACTTAGCATAGGTAATAGCATGTAGTAGTATAAAAATCTTAACAAAATGTCTTGACTATATAACCAAAAAGAGTCAATGTCCTCAGCTTGCCTTACTTACAAAGGAAGGCTCTTATTGATTGGTTCTAACAAAAATTTTCTATAAACTTATCAAAATTAATTATTATGTTAATAATCATAACTTAATTTACTCAATTGTGCCAAAACAAGTCTTGGATTGATGCAGTTCTAAATCACAAACTAAATATGTTCAGGTTACAGGAATTTCATTGCAGGTAAGTAGTTAATCCCGAAATGCAAAATTTGCAATTACCGCTATATACAGTCGAACCTCTCTAGTACGGACACCGAAGGGACAGAAAAAAGTATCCGTATTAGAGAGGTGTCCGTATAAAAGAGGTCACTACGATGATGTCACTTTTATGACTCCACTTACAGTTTTAAGTGTTCGGTAGCTAAAACTAGGCTCACTCTTGTCTTTAAACTGCATTTAAATTTATTAATTCACAGATTAGAGAGAGTCTGTATTATAAAGGCAGTTTTTAGGGAAAATAATAAGAATTTTGTCAGGATTTGAAAAGTGTCCATAATAGAGAGGTGTCCGTACTGAGAGGCTTGACTGTAAAATTATTACCAATTTTTGTTTTTGTGACCTTGTTTGCATCTGAGCATGTGAAACTTTTCGTACAGTTGGTCATGTTCGCGAAATAAGATGACCCAGCAAAGGATAGCTGTCAAGGAACAGAGGATTTTCTCACCCAACAAAAAATTGTAGGCCTCCAAACAGTATCTTTGAAGTTTGCAGGTAACAGTTGAGAAAATTTTGTAGGTGAGAGAAATGGCTTTGTGTGGTGCAAACGGGGGCGTAGTCTCTATCAGAAAGAAGTCCTTTTTCCTCTGGGGGTCCCACATGGTGCTCGCCCCTAGCCTAAATAGGGGTATCACTCTCCCAGATAAACTACGGCTCTGGCCAACAGTTTAAGCACATTAAGTTCACTATTTCTGGTAATTGTAATTCTAAACATTCACTTGAATATATCACTGAAACTGCTGCAAATCAATCATCTTCGTCTGGAACTCCCCAACCACACCCTTCTCTGTTTAAATCATGCTCAATGCAAACTTGGGGTCAGCAAATGGTCATGAAAACATTCCACCCTTGGATAACAAGCAAAAAAAGCACACAAATAAAAATAAATAATAAATGAATAAAAGACAAGCATATAGCTATTTACAAGAATCAAGATAAAGACAATGATTCTCAACTGTTCAATTTTCAGTCAGCCTGTTATTTCTACATGATGTAATCTCTGCATTATGAAGTGTGCCTGTGGTCAAACCCCAAGGATGTGGCTGCATTCTGTCTGGAAAGTAAAACTTGGATTTTTTTTTTTCACACTTTTCCCTGTTTACTGGTTGACTATCTAGTTAATCCACAGCAGTGAAATCAAAAACTGACAAGAGATTTTAAAGAAGAAAAATTGCCTTTCAAGTAAATAAAAATACATTATGGCACACTTTCAATTTACTTCAATGAGTCACATGATAGATACATCTGTAAGGGTCAGTCTCAAAAGTTTGAACACTTGACGTAGAAAAAGCTCGAAAAAGAAAACCAATGGGACAAACAAGACATAAGAGCTTAAATGATTTTAAAATTTGTTAGAAAACATGAGGACTTTTTTAAATTTTAAGCGGATCTGCCGGATCATGTATCTTTTCAGCTCTTATTTTAGCCTGAGCTCAAATTACCTGTTGCAAGTTGCATTGACGAAATTTAGCAGTGACTTTGGCAAAAAATAATAATAATAACTGGAGATTTATGCATAGATGGATACAGTATGATACTTAAATATGATATAAAAGCGCATTCGCTTTCGATCCGAATATTGAAGCAAAGATTTTAGTTGCAAATTGCGTGACGACTGTACAAAATTTTATGGTAATTAACATTAAAAAATTTGCGGAAATTTTCCCCAAACAGAACGTACCTAAGATTTACCATTAACTATCCTCATATTATTTGTCTTGAACATAGTTAAAAGCTAAGAAGAATAAAAATTAACATAACACATGTTGTTTTGCACGTCGCGAGCTACAAACCTTATAACAACGTGTGCTTGCTTCACGGTAAACTCCCCTCGTGGATCTTTTCTTAGCGGAGTGTAGGCATAGTTTTGCGGTCCGCAATATTCTGGTAGATCTGCTCTTACACTTACTGCAACACTACAGAGGAAAGAGCAGCAAATCGCCAGAAATACTTTTACAGACATGCTTCCGTGACCGCCAGAAACTTACGCTGTGTCTCAAGGGACCTGGAATTGATGTATAAATACTGGTTAATAGTCCCTCTCTAAAGAAAGGGACAAGGATCAGCTTGGGAAAGAGTGATGCAAAATTAAAGACAGAATGGAACTGAACAACTAAAGCATGGAATATCGAGAGCTCTTGACTTACATCGACATGTCCCAAAATTGAGGCCTTTGTACTGCAGCAATAAACTGCTGAGTTGGTCTGTTTCCTGAGAGCACAATATACACACCTAGTCAAAGAAGACAATCAGTGAGGTACTGCGCGCTCAAAATCCTTCACTGAATCGCTCAAAATTCCACTTGTGAGGCAAAACTGAGGACGACAATATACCGCTTGTAAGGGGTAATACAACGTTTATTTAGCATGAATCCTTGTACATATTCCGAATAGAATAGAATAATTCTTTATTTAAACACGGTAAAATTCATCATCAGGAGTATAAAAAATTTTCAATAAATTTAACTACCCTAAACGATATGCAAGACCATCTACAACTAACCTAACTAAGACCTGTTTTTCATGAATGCCGTTATACAGTACTTAAAAATCAGCACAATATCTACCTACAAATGAAGCAAGTGACAAGTCCATTGCATTGTAGGCCCCCTTTTAAATTGATTTAAAAGGGTCACATAGCAGCACATAGAATCCGTGAGCAAGTATGGGCTGCCTGTTCCCTTCTGTAACCATGCACTTTACTATGCCCAGTTGCATATATATGGCCCTCACAAAACAGGACACTTATGAAGGACACTTATGAAGGCCGTGTTGCATGGGATGACTTACACTGTCATAAGTTTCTGCCTTAGTGTAACTTAGGACTCACTTAGGGCACACGTTTTTTTTTTATATTATACCTTATTAAATAGTGACTCACTCTTTTTGCTTTTAGTAAACTATTGGTGAGTGTAAAGAAAGTGTCTAGTCGTTTGAAGCACTTTAAGGTCTCGGAATAATAATAATAATACAATAATAATAATAATAATAATAATAATAATAATGACTTTTTTGGTGTTAATGTATTAAGCTTAACAGTTAGCTAATTAAGGACACTTTCCTACTTACTGGCACACTAGTCTATACCATACTTTTAAATTAATGATCTTACTTAAAACCTAAAACTATATACAAATGTACACGACTCCAAATTTACGCAGGTCACAGCAATGTTCTATGCATCTACAGAAAAAAGTTGTGTTTCACCGTTTTATTTTGAAAAAAATCCAACCAAGAAACCTCAACATAATCAAAAATATTCTTTTCTTCTCCGGCAGTCGCAAAGGAACCTCGGCTGAACTTCTTATCAGTCTTATGAAGACAAGTTTTTGATACACAACTGCAGCCAAAGCCGGGATAAAGTAGCTGGGAGTCTTCTATTTTAGAATTCTAATTTACGCAATTCTTCCTCTTTCCGGCCCTGGTATTCGGCCGCCCACCGAACTGACCAGGGAAAAAAGCCAGGGAAACGCAATTTATGTTCTGAAATCTGAAAATGGAATAGTTTTAATTTTGAATGAACAATCCGCCTGACTTTTCAAGACGGGATTATCCGCTCCAGATAGCCTGTGTACAGCCGCCCCCTCCCCCGTAGAAAAATCGGAGAAGGTGTGTCTGTGGGGAGGGCGCGACTGTACACAGGCTAGTCTCAGACGGATGATCAATTTCTAGCTCTAGTGTGTGCCTAGGTCTTGGTTAACACCTAAAAGGCGCTTTGCCTAACGAGCGTACGGAGTCACACTAGCTGGGAAGTAAAAAAACGCAACCATAAGTAAGTTTAGCACCTTCCTTAAAAGTAGCAAATCTAGGCAACAATTTCTTTTACGGTTAACTCTTTTTTACCCTATTTACGGCTAACGGTTAAACTTTTTCAATTTTTACGGCTATCGACTAAATTTTTAGCCGTTTTACGCCTATCGGTTAACCCCATTGAGACCCTCTTGAACGGTCCCTTTTTGCGGTCTTCCTCATGCAGTCCAATCCATTGTACCACTCCACAGCCGTTGGTCCTAGTTGCCGACAAAATTTACGGAACCCGCTAAACCAAGTGCTGGACTTGAGAAAATCGTGGGCGCGGCCTCTTAAATGTCCATGTAAGTGCCTGAGCTTCATTAAACTGAGGATGATCTTCGTCCTGTACAAACATATAAAAAGCTCGAAATGTGTTTTTGTTTTCATCCATCTGGCGTGATTGCATGGCTATTGCTGCAAGAATAAATAAAAAACGTGGCCTTGTTGAAGGAACTACTTGTCTGGGACCGTCTGGCGTTCGAAACCAGGAAAGGGGAAAGGATCGGCTGATATGCATCGCGTGCGAACGGGTTGGCCGGGCAGCTAAGTTGCGAGAAGTCACGCGAGAGCCACATGGGAAAGGAGACGCTTCGCCCGGCCATGATTGGAGAGCTTGCTCGACCTTGCTCGCATGCAACCGGGCAGCCGTTCCCCTTTGTGAACAATACCATTCAGCTAAAAAGAACCTATCAGTTTTCATATTACCTTTCTTTAATTTACATACTGTTTGGCTTTTCAAGACGGCAAAGGACAAATGATTATGGATTTATCGAACGGCGAGTGAGACTCTTTAGTGTTTTTACCCTAATCCTGAAGTTTTGGATTAGTCTGGCTGAAAGTATATCATTATAAGTATACTGATCGGATTCAACAGTATTTCTGTCTATCACAGTGTTTCTGCACTTCCTTTATCTGTTTATGCGAATTCCTTAACACTGCTTAAGTACAGTTCAGCTTAGAACAACAGCTACTTACGTCGCCTAGCCAATTCATAAATGATTCAGTTCAGATCTTTGTTTTAGTTTTTCTTTCTCTTTTTTTTTTCAGATTTTAAAAAAATTGCTGTATATCAGCCGTCTACTGTATGTCACAGCCGATCTTTAGGCTGTTAAAATGAATTTTTTACTACAGTAGCTGGTGCTTTAATAGCATTCGTGAATCTTGTATTGATTTAATTAAAACCATAGGCAGTTTCAATCGAACTCAGATAACTGACATATTAAAACACGTGTCTCATCTAAGCCTTTTCAGAAATTATTGATCGAAGTTGTTATTTTGCGGTCAGTTATAATTGATAATATTAAAACTGAATATTGACAAGGAAGTTAACAGCGCACCCTGAAAACAAAATCGAAGGCAATTGAAAAGTCATAATCTGGACTGATATCTCTTTGAACATCTTATCACACAAATATTGAATGACGATGATTCTTCGTAATTAAAATTATTAGACGGATCAAAAAGCTAGTACATCCGATCAAAGAAATCTTACTCTTTGCCGTTTTTTCCTAAAAGGTTTTTGAAGCTTTTTGCCGCGATATATGACGATTAATCTTTCTCTAGACTGATATCAATACTGAGTTAAGCACGCACTTCATTCTTAGAAGTCCCTCCTTTTTTCTACTGCTGTTTTGCCTCGATTCACGCCGAACCGGTAAGAAACGATTGCTGCGAGCGTGAAGCACAACTGAAGTCCACCGAATCGCCAAGCAAATGGCACCCAACGTTGGGTGAGTGAGAAACCAAAAGTACAAAAACAGTTGGTGCAAAAATGTCCCAAAACCGGAAGGAGCTCACTCGCAATAACGCAACTGCTGTTTTCAATATATATGCCAAATGCAAGTGAGTAAAGAAAAGAAAGCACCGTTTTATAACGTACACCCACTGAACTTGAGCATCTAAGAAATGGCTTTAAAGAAATATATTAATAATTGTTAATGACAGAGTAATTTTGACCAGTTAATTACATATATGTTCACTTGAGGACGCCGAAAGAAATGTATGTGGTCTTGCGACACTACAACGCTTAGGGCTTCTCCTTGTTCAATTTTTTCTACACCGCCGCACGCGTTAAAAACCTAGTTAAGGTACCAATGAGGCACCTTAATAATTACTTCAGGCTTATAGGAGAAGGTTTAGTTTACTTTCAGTAGTCCGCTCTTTCACAACGAGCACCTATGAATGTCCGTCTCAAAGAAAGAGTTTACTTTGACATGTTTTGCATTCTTGTACAAGAAAACTGGCAACCTTTGTTTCCTACAAGAATGAATAGACAGACAAAAACCGCCTGCTTTTTGGCAGTTAATCTCTAGACTTCCGTAAAGACAGTGGTGTATTTATCACCAACGGCTTAAAACTCTCAAAATTGACCACTGTGGCTAAGAAAAAACGTTTTCCCCAAACAAGTATTAGTGGTTTGGCGATCAATTGTTGCAAAGTAAAACACACGCTCCGTTGAAAGATCTTTTGGCAAGGCGATGAAACTGGGTTTTATACATAATGTACATGTATGTGGGTCTCGCAGCAAACAGTTGATAAGCATCTACTTTTGAGAGATTGTAAAAGGATTGAATAAACAACTCTGCCACTATTACTACAGGCATCACAAACGATGACCGCACTTTAAAGGAAAGCAGTTCTCAGCCGATTTCTTAGCTAAATAACCTTAAATGGCTTGTTGACCCTCTAGAAAATGAGAACTATTTGACGGCGAACTCCGCTGGGCTAATGCTCTTAGAACGATCTGGGTAATAGCTTTCTCGGAATCCCGTTTGACACCGTCGCACATTCCAGTGTTTTCCTCAAAGTTGGTGGTCTTCACGCTCGTGTGATAGTCGTTTAGCAGTGTTTAAAGGGCCATGGTGTTAAAAAAGAGTCACACGCGTAGAAAACTCGGCTGACGTATCCCTTTGGGTAGTAAAACGCGTCTCGCGCACCAATGCGCGAAATATACGTTTGCCTTATAGTTTTCTGGCTCACTCCCTGTGAAAACATTTCAGTGCAAACAAAAACAAAGAGCTCTCTCTTATCTTATCTCTTAACTGCAATTATGTGGGTCTTCAGGTTTTGCCACGCTAACTGAGACGAAATACGATCTACTAATTATGTTTTCAAGCCGCGAAACCTCGCATCTTGAGAAGGGAGTTTATTCTTCCTTCATCAAGTAATCACGATGACATAATGCAGGACATAAAAAAATGTCTCCACCAATAATGTGGCTGCCCTTACATTAAAAACCCCTCGGACTTAAATGCACTCCAGACCAACGATTGTCGAGATAAGGAGCTAACAGGGAAAAATTATCGGCGCATCAGAGCTAAGAGACAAGAGTTTTCATCCGATTAAGCGTGAAATTTTCACTGAAACCTCTGCGTCTTTTTCGAAAGACCTGCCTGAGATTATGCTGCAAAATAGCCACGGCATGAGTATTCCTGCTTTAGTACCGCCATGTTTTGAAGAACCTGGATATGGGATCAATACAAGTGTGTCTAGGCCACCGTTCTCCATCTGCCAACCACACGTAACCGGTTCGAATGGCATTGCGCCATCTGCCAGGGTTCTTCAAGAAGTTATGTTTCCCAACGAGATGAATTACCCAAGTTACATGCCTGATATACCATCAAACCAAGGTCTAGCGCTTCCATGGATGTCCTCGTGGCATCAGAGGCAAAATCTGCAATATCTGGGACACCCTCATCCAGGTAAAATTATCGTTTCAATATTTTTTACTACTGGAATCAAACCTCACTCAGATCTGTTTTGAGTTGAATGACTACCTTTTACGAAAGACATGTTGGTCTCATTTGGCGCCCTTCAAGAACTTATCGATTTATTTAAACTCGACATGCTCTTTAATTGTTGTCGTGATTTTATTTGTGTTATTAGAACTTCTTAAGCTATTTGCTTAGCCCTGGTTATAGCGTGTTTGTTTACTGTTAGTACGCTCTCTGCAGGACGGAGTAAGGCAAACAAGATGGTGTGAATTAGGCGATGGAAATGGCACGCGCGCACAAACACGCACGTTTGTTGGGATTAAAACAGCCGTTGCAGTAAAAGGTTCGGAAACTTCAACTGTCTCGTTATTCTTCGACTACAAAATTGCGAATTAACTGTTTAACCCTCGGCGTTGATGTTTATGTTGTATTACGGTACGCGATAGCACTGAGCGACAGTGTAAACTTGCGTCAAAGATGAGGGAATGCAACAGCATTCTGATAGCAACATCCCTTCTTGGCGAAGTGATTGATTGTCTCATTAAGCTGGGACATGCGCTAGATTTGACGAGTTATCAGAAAAGGAAAGGAAGTGAAATCATTTCTGATCAGTTAGAAGAGCACCTCAAACCAAACGACAGCAATCAAATGTTGTTCTGCGAGACTACAGGTCCATCGTCATCTCAAAGGCAAGGATCGGAAGCCGATGCGAACTGATTAGATCATGTCACTTTACTGATCAAAGTTATCTGACACGAAACCTTGGACTCATCTATAGTTCTAGAACCATACGAATGGCTCAGCCAGTTTTGTGTCTGTTAAGGTGGACATTATAGCCTCAGAGAGCACTTACAAACGGAAACAAAGCGCGCTATGCCTCTAGCATACTTCAGCCAATTTAGTGCCTTAAGGACCTGAAGCGACCCTCCGTCAGTTTTAATATTTTCGTATGAAAAGAAATTCAACTGTTTAAAATGTTGTGAATCTGCACCTGTTCGCAGAGATAAGTAATGTTCTCTACCGAGAGACAAACGGTAAAAGAGAGATTTTTTTCTGAAAAAGTTCAGTTGGTTGATTTTAAATATCTCAAGTGTAGTTGTGTTTTGTCGCATTCCACCCGCGGAAGCCCCATTTATTAGTTACAACATTAAACAATTCCTGACCGGATATAGAAAATAAACAACTTGTTTCCTGCTTTGAGATAATGCAGCACTACGTCAAACCGAGCAAGCAAAAACCATGCAATATTTTTCGACAGGATACGCTGGTCAGACAGCTGAAAAATTGCTTGTCACAATCGACCAAAATTCTCTTTCAGCTTCTCAACGCGCATTTGCGGTGATGTAGTCTTGAAAGTCAATTTTACGGTCACTCAGTTCTTTAAAAGTTTCTACTAAAGGCAGAGAACATTTTGGCTTCAATAACCTATTTTCTTTTGTTACTAGGAGACTATTATCCTTATGGATCGGAGTTTGGAGACTTAGATGATTCAGGAATGTACCCTCCAAAGAAGAAACGAGCTCGCACAACCTTTTCAGCTGAACAGCTTAAAAGATTGGAGAAACGTTTCCTCGGGAATCACTACATCGTCGGCGAAGAAAGACAAAAAATAGCCAAAGAGCTCGACCTATCCGAGGCCCAAGTGAAAGTTTGGTTTCAAAACCGGAGAATAAAATTTAAAAGGGACGAAGAGCTGGAAAAGCTTGGAAAGAGTAAGAAGCGAAAAGGAGAACATCACATTCGAAAATGGCAGTTGACAACCCGCCACTTCGGACCTGAAACAAACGCGCTATTCCATGACAATTATGATAATACTTCTAAAAGGCGTAATTAAACTTAATTTGCTCTTTACAGCAATTGAAAAGATAAACAGAAATGCGCTGAAGGCTAGCGGTAAACTTAATCTAAAGCCAAGCTCGTCGGAAACTCGTTAATGAATATTCCATCCAGACCAACGAGAGAAGAAAGAACGCAAGGTTAAGTGTCCAACTTCTAAAGTTTACGCTCCATGTTAATGCCTCTTCTAGTCATTAGTGATTATTTTTACGTTTACATCCCTTTCGGTTAGGGGTTAATTTGGCTTTCTAGAACCCCAATACCTTGAAACGCAACGTTAAGGCAGATTAGCGTCAGCCCATCTAGAACATCTGTAACAACTTTCGTAATGAGAAAATACTTATGTAATGTTTTCACGAAATGTCAAAGTATTTGGTGCTATTAATGACTTTTTAAGGTGGACAGATTAACAAGCGCTTTGCTGATGCGATACGCTAAGAAAACAGCCCTTTTCCGTATGGACTTCTAGGATAATACGCGCTAATGATAGGTAATTACAACTTGTAATAAGTCTCCATATCTTTCCGCTCGTAGCTTTAAAAATACAAAATGAAAATCGTTCAATAACTTGAAAAGAATATTCCCTCTTTGGGAACTTTACCGTATCGGTATATATATATTTAGCTTTTTGAGTCCGCATTCTGTTGGTCTTTCTAATATATGAGTTTTTAGTAGTCACCGCTAAGTCAGTATCAATTGTGGGTTTACGAGGCCTTCGCACTCGAGATAAAATGTACATACAGAATAAATTGATGGGCTTGCGTGATACTTTAACGCAACTTCCATGTTATTTATAGTATTGACTTGTGTTTACTTTTAAAATATATAGTTTACATAAAATAATGGTCCGCTCTATAGATTTCATAGCGCTATTCGGTTTTTTTTTTCTTTTCCTGTGAGGGAATCTTTTGGGCGTTGCCAATTTTGGCGTCCCAACAATCCACAGGAAAAAATTTCTTTTCACAGTCGTGTAAAAATGTACGAACGTGTTTTTCCATTGCGACCAGGCCGGTGTTTCCCAATTTGGGTGTAGCTGGATCTCATAAATCGTAACAGATTTGTTTATTTAATCTCAAATGACTTGTGACCAGTTCATTGTTCTTGTTAGATAACAAGCTGCTACCCGGCACTCGGTCAATTTTAAGTATTAACCTGTTTACAGAAGGTCTAAAATATTTATTGAAAAAACCGTCAGTGTAGTGACAGATCTTATTCAAGATCAGTTTTTTGTGGGGTACGAACATACAAAATATTTCAGTTCTTTCCTAACATAAACATATGATGCATATTTCAGAGTTCGCTTTTTTATCTCCAACGCTGACTTGCCCCAATGAACTTAAAGAACGATAGCGATCTAAATATCTAGGGAATGCTGGCATCTAATGTATCTTCTCTGGCCAAGAATATTACGATTGCTTGCCCTCGTGTTGTTTAGCACATTCCAGCTTGTTCATTGCAAATCTCTTTCTTTCTTTCTTTTCACAACGCAGAGCAATTCCTTAAAATTTCACCACGCGCGCACGCGTTTCTTGGTTGAGGTTACTGTCAATGATTCTCACTGAGGGCTTACCCACATTTTTAACACAATATCTTTCAATACGCTAAACTAGCAAACGACAGTGTGGAACAACACGATAAGTTTTTAATCCCAAACTATTTTAAGTGAAGTATAGCATTACTTTCTTATCTACGAAGACCACGCAAATGGTAATTTTGGAGTTGGGCACTTCCGACGTGACACATGTAGGATGTCGCGATATGACAGCATTTTTTTGGAAGCTGAAGATAGTAGACAATCCCATTCAGCAGTGTCATTATCCCAACAAGGACTGGCTGAAGCTCTTGTCCTGTCACCATGTCTATGGGTGAAAATATACTGATTAATTATAAACAACAACAACATTATTTTATTACTTATATTGCCAGCAATTACAAAAATTGTTGACTAACCTTTAGTATAAAAATATATCTATATAAAAATATATGTAAAACAAAGTTGAAAATAAGTTGAAATTTTTTCAAAAAATGTACTTAAAATCTTAACAAAATGTCTTGACTATATAACTAAAAAGAGTCAATGTTCTCAGCTTGCCTTAATATTACTTACAAAGGAAGGCTGATTAATTGATTGGTTCTAACAAAAATTTTCTATAAACTCATCAAATTGTTACACTGTACATATGTTAATAATTGAAACTTTACTCAATTGTGCCAAAACAAGTCTTGGGTTGATGCAGTTCTAAATCACAAACCAGATATGTTCAGGTTACAGGAATTTCATTGCATGCAAGTACGAGTAGTTAATCCCCTCATGCAATATTTGCAATTATATACAGTTGAACCTCTCTAATACGGACACCGAAGGGACAGAGCAAAGTATCCATATTAGAGAGGTGTCCACATAAAAAAGGTCACTACGATGACGTCACTTTTATGACTCCACTTACAGTTTTAAGTGTTCGGTAGCTAAAACCAGGCTCACTCTTGTCTTTAAAACTGCATTTAAATTTATTAATTCACAGTACAAAGACACTGTCTTTCAGTAGCATACAACATTGTACATCTCAGCTACAAAGTAAGTGCAGTTGTAGACAAATCACTGTTTTAAAACGAAACACACTACAGTGCAATGCTACATGTAAAAAAATGTGACGTAAAGCACAATTCTCATGAAAGCAAATGCAACAGAAAAGATCTTTATGCTATCTGTAGTTATTCAAGCCTTAAAAAGTTGGTTATGTTCCTCTGTACACCTTTCACAAATCGTTGTTTGATATACAGCAACTGAGCTTTTGTAATCACCTAACATATATAGCTCATCAGCAAGACAGGATTCACCCTGTGTAGATTCACCTGATCAAGAGTCAGAATTCACCTGATCACCGCAGTGTCCATAATAACAAGGATAAGTTTACATGAATTTATTCTTTGGGGCCGAGATTTAGTGTCCATTGTCCATATTAGAGGGAGTCCATATTATAGAGGCGGTTTTTTAGGAAAAATAACGAGAATTTTGTCAGGACATATTGGAAACTGTCCATAATAGAGAGGTGTCCATACCGAGAGGCTCAACTGTAATATTATTATTACCAATAACTTGTTTTTGTGACCTTGTTTGCATCTGAGCACATGAAATTTTTCGTACAGTTGGTTATGTTTGCAAAGTAAGATGACCCAGCAAAGGATAGCTGTCAAGGAACAGAGGATTTTGTCACCAACTGACAAAAAATTGTAGGCCTCCAAATATTCTCGACAGCATCTTTTGAAGTTTGGTAACAGTTGAGGAAATTTTGTAGGTGAGAGAAATGGCTTCCTGTTGACCTTTTTTTTTTGGCAAAACAGACAAAATTTTGTGTAGTGCAAACAGGGGCTTAGTCTCTATCAGAAATAAGTCCTTTTTCCTCTGGGGGTCCCACATGGTGCACGCCCTTAAATAGGGGTATCACTCTCCCAGATGAACTACAGCTCTGGCCAACAGTTTAAGCAGATTAAGTTGACTATTTCTGGTAATTGTAATTCCAAACAATCATTCACTAGAATATATCACTGAAACTGCAGCAAATCAATCATTTCTGTCTGGAACTCCCCAACCACACCCTTCTCTGTCTAAATCATGCTCAATGCAAACTTGGGGTCAAGAAATGGTCATGAAAACATTGGATAACAAGCAAAAAAAATAAATAATAAAAATAAATAATAAATGAATAAAAAACAAGCATACAGCTATTTGCAGGAATCAAGATAAAGACAATGATTTTCAGCTGTTTAGTCAGCCTATTATTTCCACATGATGTAATCTCTGCCTTATGAAATGTGTCTGTGGTCAAACCCCAAGGATGCGGCTGCGTTCTGTCTGGAAAATAAAACTTGGATTTTTGTTTCCACGCTTTTCCCTGTTTACTGGTTGACTATCTAGTTAACCCACAGCAGTCAAATTAAAAACTGACAAGAGATTTTAAAAAAGAAAAAATTGCCTTTTAAGTAAATAAAAATACATTATGGCACACTTTCAATTTATAATTACTACAACGAGTCACATGATAGGTACATCTGTAAGGTCAGTCTAAATCATCACACCCCTTTCTCAAAAGTTTGAACACTTGATGTAGAAAAAGCTCGAAAAAGAAAACCAATGGGCCAAACAAGACATAAGAGCTTAAATTATTTTAAAATTTCTTCGAAAACATGGGGACTTTTTTAAATTTTACGCGGATCTGCCGGATCATGTATCTTTTAAGCTCTTATTTTAGCCTGAGCTCAAATTACCTGTTGCAAGTTGCATTGACGAAATTTAGCAGTGACTTTGGCAAAAAATAATAATAATAACTAGAGATTTATGCACAGATGGATACAGTATGATACTCAAATATGACATAACAGCGCATTCGCTTCCGATCCGGATATTAAAGCAGAGATTTTAGTTGCAAATTGCGTGACGACTGTACAAAATTTTATGGTAATTATCATAAAAAAAAATATGCGGAAATTTTACCCAAACAGAACGTACCTAAGATTTACCATTAACTATCCTCATATTATTTGTCTTAAACATACTTAAAAGCTAAGAAGAATAAAAATTAACATAACACGTGTTGTTTTGCACGTCGCTAGCTACAAACCTTATAACAACGTGGACTTGCTTCACGGTAAACTCTCCTCGTGGATCTTTCCTTAGCGGAGTGTAGGCATAGTCTTGCGGTCCGCAATATTCTGGCAGATCTGCTCTTACACTTACTGCAACACTAAAGAAGAAATAGCAGCAAATCGCCAGAAATACTTTTACAGACATGCTTCCGTGACCGCCAGAAACTTGCGTTGTGTCTCCAGGGACCTGGAATTGATGTATAAATACTGGTTAATAGTCCCTCTCCAAAGAAACGGACGAGGAATCATCAGCTTGGGAAAGAGTGATGCAAAATTGAGGATAGAAAAGACAGCATGGAACTGAACAACTAAAGCATGGAAGATCGAGAGCTCTTGACTTACATCGCCTTGTCCCGAAATTGAGCCCTTTGTACTGCAGCAATAAACTGCTCAGTTGGTATTTCCTGCGAGCGCAATATACACACCTACTCAAAGAGGCCATTCCACAATTGTACCTGAGCGCGCAAAATCCTTCGACTGAATCGTTCAAAATTCCACTTGTGAGGCAAAACTGAGGACGACAATATACCGCTTGTAAGGGGTAATACAACGTTTATTTAGCATGAATCCATGTACATATGCAGAATAGAATAGAATAGAATAGAATAATTCTTTATTTAAACATGGTAAAGTTCATCAGGAGTATAAGAAATTTTCAATAAACCTAAACTACCCTAAACGATATGCAAGACCATCTACAACTAACCTAACTAAGACCTGTTTTTCATGAATGCCGTGTACACAGTACTTAAAAATCAGCGCAATATCTACTTACAAATTAAGCAAGTGATAAGTCCATTGCATTGTAGGCCCCCTTTTAAATTGATTTTTAAAGGATTCACATAGCAGTACATAGCATCCGTGAGCAAGTATGGGCTGCCTGTTCCCTTCTGTGACCATGCACTTTAATATGCCCAGTTGCATATATGGCCCTCACAAAACAGGACACTTATGAAGGACACTTATGAAGGCCGTGTTGCATGGGATGACTACACTCTCATAAGTTTCTGCCTTAGTGTAACTTAGGACTCACTTAGGGGCACACGTTCTTTTTTTATATTACACCTTATTAAATAATGACTCACTCTTTTTGTTTTTAGTAAACTATTGGTGAGTATAAAGAAAGTGTCTAGTCGTTTGAAGCACTTTAAAAAGTCTCGGAATAATAATAATAATACAATAATAATAATAATAATAATAATAATAATAATAATAATGACTTTTTTTTAGTGTCAATGTATTAAGCTTAACAGTTAGCTAATTAAGGACGCTTTCCTACTTACTGGCACACTAATCTATAACATACTTTTAAATTAATGATCTTACCTAAAACCTAAAACTATATCAAAAATGTACACGACTCCAAATTTACGCAGGTCACAGCAATGTCCTATGCATCTACAGAAAAAAGTTGTGTTTCATCGTTTTATTTTGAAAAAAAATCCAACAAAGAAACCTCAACATAATCAAAAATATTCTTTTCTTCTCCGGCAGTCGCAAAGGAACCTCGGCTGAACTTCTTATCAGTCTTATGAAGACAAGTTTTTGATACACAACTGCAGCCAAAGCCGGGATAAAGTAGCTTGGAGTCTTCTATTTTAGAATTCTAATTTAAGCAATTCTTCCTCTTTCCGGCCCTGGGGCCCGTTTCTCGAAAGTCCCGATAATTAACGGGCCCGGTAAGCTGACTCCATTTACATTAAAGACTGAGGTTTCAATAGGTTTGCATCTAACATGATAAAACTATAAGTTAATGAAACAAACTGGAGTAGTTTGCTAGCCAGGACCCGCGCTCTTATTCTTGTTATTTTGATTTGAATATTTTATTTCGGGCACGAAAAGTTACCGGGACTTTCGAGAAACGGGCCCCTGGTATTCGGCCGCCCACCAAACTGACCAGGGAAAAAAGCCAGGGAAATGCAATTTATGTTCTTCTTTCAAAAGGTTTGATATACTACTTTTGTCACTCGTGAACGGTCCCTTTCTGCGGTCTTCCTCGTGCAGTCCAATCCATTGTACCACTCCATAGCCGTTGGTCCTAGTTGCCGACAAAATTTACGGAACCCGCTTAACCAAGTGCTGGACTTGAGAAAATCATGGGCGCGGCCTTTTAAATGTCCACGTAAGTGCCTGAGCTTCATTAACTGAGGATGATCTTCGTCCTGTACAAACAAATAAAAAGCTCGAAATGTGTTTTTGTTTTCATCCATCTGGCGTGATTGCATGGCTATTGCTGCAAGAATAAATAAAAAAGGTGGCCTTGTTGAAGGAAACTTGTCTGGGACCGTCTGGCCTTCGAAACGAGGAAAGGGGAAAGGATCGGCTGATATGCATCGCGTGCGAACGTTGGCCGGGCAGCTAAGTTGCGAGAAGTCACGCGAGAGCCACATGGGAAAGGAGACGCTTCGCCCGGCCATGATTGGAGAGCTTGCTCGACCTTGCTCGCATGCGACCGGGCAGCCGTTCCCCTTTTTGAACGATACCATTCAGCTAAAAAGAACCTATCCGTTTTCATATTACCTTTCTTTAATTTACATACTGTTTGGCTTTTCAAGACGGCAAAGGACAAATGATTATGGATTTATCGAACGGCGACTGAGACTCTTCAGTGTTTTTACCCTAATCCTGAAGTTTTGGATTAGTCTGGCTGAAAGTATATCATTATACGTATACTGATCGGATTCAACAGTATTTCTGTCTATCACAGTGTTTCTGCACTTCCTTTATCTGTTTATGCGAATTCCTTAACACTGCTTAAGTACAGTTGAGCTTAGAACAACAGCTATTCATAAATGATTCAGTTCAGATCTTTCTTTTAGTTTTTCTTTCTCTTTTTTTTTTCAGATTTTAAAAAAAATTGTTGTATATCAGCCGTCTACTGGATGTCACGGCCGATCTTTAGGCTGTTAAAATGAATTTTTTACTACAGTAGCTGGTGCTTCAATGGCATTCGTGAATCTTGTATTGATTTAATTAAAACCATAGGCAGTTTCAATCGAACTCAGATAACTGACATATTAAAACACGTGTCTCATCTAAGCCTTTTCAGAAATTATTGATCGAAGTTGTAATTTTGCGGTCAGTTATAATTGATAATATTAAAACTGAGTATTGACAAGGAAGTTAACACCGCAAGCTGTAAAACAAAATCGAAGGCAATTGAAAAGTCATAATCTGGACTGATATCTCTTTGAACATCTTATCACACAAATATTGAATGACGATGATTCTTCCGTAATTAAAATTATTAGACGGATCAAAAAGCTAGTACATCCGATCAAAGAAATCTTACTCTTTGCCGTTTTTCCTAAAAGGTTTTTGAAGCTTTTTGCCCGGATCTATGAAGATTAATCTTTCTGTAGACCGATATCAAGATTGAGTTAAGAACTCTCTTCATTCTTAAAAGTCCCTCCTTTTTTCTACTGCTGTTTTGCCTCGATTCACGCCGAACCGGTAAGAAACGATTGCTGCGAGCGTGAAGCACAACTGAAGTCCACCGAATCGCCAAGCAAATGGCACCCAACGTTGGGCGAGTGAGAAACCAAAAGTACAAAAACAGTTGGTGCAATAATGTCCCAAAACCGGAAAGAGCTCACTCGCAATAACGCAACTGCAGTTTTCAATATATATGCCAAATGCAAGTGAGTGAAGAAAAGAAAGGACCGTTTTATAACGTACACCCACTGAACTTGAGCATCTAAGAAATGGCTTTAAAGAAATATATTAATAATTGTTAGGAGTAATTTTGACCAATTAATTACATATATGTTCACTTGAGAACGCCGAAAGAAATGTATGTGGTCTTGCGACACTACAACGCTTACGCCTTCTCCTTGTTCAAGTTTTTCTACACCGCAGCACGCGTTAAAAACCTAGTTATGGTACCGATGAGGCACCTTAATAATTACTTCAGACTTATAGGAGAAGGTTTAGTTTCGGCTTTCAGTTGTCCGCTCTTTCACAACGAGCACCTATGAATGTCCGTCTCAAAGAAAGAGTTTACTTTGACATGTTTTGCAATCTTGTACAAGAAAACTGGCAACCTTTGTTTCCTTCAAGAATGAATAGACCGACAAAAACCGCCTGATTTTTGGCAGTTAATCTCTAGACTTCCGTAAAGACAGTGGTGTATTTATCACCAACGGCTTAAAACTCTCAAAATTGACCACTGTGGCTAAGAAAAAACGTTTTCCCCAAACAAGTATTAGTGGTTTGGCGATCAATTGTTGCAAAGTAAAACACACGCTCCGTTGAAAGATCTTTTGGCAAGGCGATGAAACTGGGTTTTATACATAATGTACATGTATGTGGGTCTCGCAGCAAACAGTTGATAAGCATCTACTTTTGAGAGATTGTAAAAGGATTGAATAAACAACTCTGCCACTATTACTACAGGCATCACAAACGATGACCGCACTTTAAAGGAAAGCAGTTCTCAGCCGATTTCTTAGCTAAATAACCTTAAATGGCTTGTTGACCCTCTAGAAAATGAGAACTATTTGACGGCGAACTCCGCTGGGCTAATGCTCTTAGAACGATCTGGGTAATAGCTTTCTCGGAATCCCGTTTGACACCGTCGCACATTCCAGTGTTTTCCTCAAAGTTGGTGGTCTTCACGCTCGTGTGATAGTCGTTTAGCAGTGTTTAAAGGGCCATGGTGTTAAAAAAGAGTCACACGCGTAGAAAACTCGGCTGACGTATCCCTTTGGGTAGTAAAACGCGTCTCGCGCACCAATGCGCGAAATATACGTTTGCCTTATAGTTTTCTGGCTCACTCCCTGTGAAAACATTTCAGTGCAAACAAAAACAAAGAGCTCTCTCTTATCTTATCTCTTAACTGCAATTATGTGGGTCTTCAGGTTTTGCCACGCTAACTGAGACGAAATACGATCTACTAATTATGTTTTCAAGCCGCGAAACCTCGCATCTTGAGAAGGGAGTTTATTCTTCCTTCATCAAGTAATCACGATGACATAATGCAGGACATAAAGAAATGTCTCCACCAATAATGTGGCTGCCCTTACATTAAAAACCCCTCGGACTTAAATGCACTCCAGACCAACGATTGTCGAGATAAGGAGCTAACAGGGGAAAATTATCGGCGCATCAGAGCTAAGAGACAAGAGTTTTCATCCGATTAAGCGT